TTCCAGCGCTAAACCCTAAACTGGCCCTAAACCCTAAACCCTAAACCCTAAACTGACCCTAAACCCTAAACCCTAAACCCTAAACCCTAAACCGTGGGTCGCAGATTGGATCTATGGGCCGAGGCAGTGGGGGGTTCGCCCTCTGCCGTGGATGGAGCGACCTCTTTACGTCGCCCGGGCTGCGCTGAGGGGCGAGGGCTTAGTCAGCAGGGTTAGAGGCAGGGGGTAGTTTTTTTCGGGTTTAGGGTTTGGGCTTTGGGGTTTAAGCTCTAGGGTTTGGGGTTTGGGGTTTAGGGTATTTCTAGCCTCCAGGTTTCCCCGCCTTGCTAGCTTCCATGATCCCAAGACCCTATCAAGAATCAGTCGAAGAATCCATGATCCGGTACCCTAAATCCCTTCTTCAAGCCCTAAACCCTCGATCCCAAGCCCTAAATCCCAAACCCTCAATCCCAAACCCTAGATACCCCTAAATCCTCAATCCTAAACCCAAGCCCTAAATCCTAAACCGTCCTAAATCCTCAATCCCCAAGCATCAATCCCAAAGCCTACACCGCCTAAACCCTGAAACTTAAAACCGTAATATAGAAGCCTATATAATTACCGAAATCTTACTAAAAGCGAGCCCAAAACCCTGTTCGAAGTATTACGGGGCCAACCCTAAACCCTAGACCCTAAATTATTAAGGCCCCTATATTAGCCCCAGAGTCTCCAGGTGTAGGGTTTAGGGGTTTAGGGTTTAGGGTTTAGGGTTTAGGGTTTAGGGTTTAGGGGTTTAGGGTTTAGGGTCTTGGGTGTCAAAGCTCGGATAGCGGGGGCAAGCAGCTAACCCAGGACCCTTCCACCGGTTTAGGGGTTGATTGCTTAGACTTTCAGGGTCCTGGGATGAGATTTTAGAGTTTAGGGTTTAGGGTTTTGGTTTTAGGGGTTGAGGGCTGGGACTTCAGGTTTTCGGGTTTAGGGCTCGGGGGGTTGAGGGTTTAGGGTTTAGACTTCAGGGCTTTGTGTTTAGGGCTTAGACATCTGCAGCCTGAGATGCGTGCTCCAATCTTCCACCGTTTGGGTCATTAATTAGGGTTTGGGTGTTTTCTCTTTTCTGCTAATTTCGTATCCAAGTAGCTTCGTCTTGCTTCCAGTCTAGATCCTTAGACGCCTATGAGCTCTGTCCTTTGGTTCAGGAAACCCCTTAGCTTTTTCCCCTACCCGAGGTCGTGGTACGGGAAGCCATACTCACCTGTGTGACGGCCGACCGTTCGCGGCTCCCTCTGCTGGATGCCTACACTTGCTGGATCAAGAGCGAGTACGTCCGAGCGGCCCGGAGCACGAAATGGCAGTAGGACGTCTTTGGGCTTTGGGCTTATAGGGTTTCGGGTTTAGTAGGGTTTATAGGGTTTGGGGTTTCAGGTTTCAGGGTGTAGGGTTTCGGACATGTGACTGTTTCAGAACGTCTTTGGGGTTTCAGGGTTTAGGGTTTAGGACATGTGACTCTCGTGTTTGGGGGTTTCAGGGTTCAGGGTTTGGGGCATGTGACTCTTTCAGTGTGAGGGTTATTGGTGCTGTTTGCAGCCTGAAGGTTTCAACATCTTGCAGAAATCCGAAGAGGTTTGTGTTTGCCATAGTGGCTTTCGCCGGTTATGGCGGATGTGTTGATTTCCTATTGCTAGTGTCATCGGCGCGATTCATACATCGAAAGCGTAGAATATCTAGGACATTTTCAGGTGGGTAGTTACAGTTATTGGAGCCTTATAGAAGGTCTATATATAGAAGCCCTATATACCCTAAACTCCCCACCACATGCCAGGCAGCTTCACTAGGAACGCAGGGTTTAGGGTTTAGGGGCTTAGGGGCTTAGGGTTTAGGGTTTAGGGTTTAGGGGTTTAGGGTTTAGGGTTTAGAGGTCTTGTGACAACCCTTCGCCCCGTTCCCTAAATCCTACCCAGCCCCTTATTCCTCGGCAGCCCTGTCCAATATTTTCGTGTTTGGGGTGGAGCCTAGGGGTCCAGGTCACGGGGGCGCCTGTTTGGAAGTCGCCAGTGGTTTCTGGATGCGATTGTTCCTCGTGTCATCTACCATCACAATCACAACCAAGCGTCATAGCAATAAGATGGGTAGTAAGGTAGTAGTTGTCATGATGATAACGTTAGTGCAACAACCATAGTCATAAGCATAAACACACGAAAGCCATCATACAAGTGTAGATGGATTCAGATGTACATCTAAGTGTAAGTAACAAACTAGTATATTCTCGGGTTTGACCTGAGGATTTTAGGACCCATGGTTTTAGTCTACATCGTTGGGTTCCTGGCCCCTGCTAAAATCTGCAATCCCTAAACCTCAAACCCCAAACCCTAAACCTTACACATTTAATCCATTAAATTTCCAACCCTCGACCCTAAGCCTTAAAGTTTAAACCCCAAGCTTCTAAACACCCTAAACCCTAAACCCCTAAACCCTAAACCCTAAACCTCAAACCCACCCAAGTAGACCCTAAACCCTAAACCCTAAACCCCAAACCCACCCAAGTAGACCCTAAACCCTAAACCCTAAACCCTAAACCCCAAACCCACCCAAGTAGACGACAAGGAGAGTCGATGCAAAGAGATCGAGGAAGAGCTTCTCCGACAGCGCCCGGGCTTCCCACAAGAAGGCCTAGTTTTTTTTGGGGGGGTTTGGGGTTTAGGGTTTAGGGTTTAGGGTTTGTTCTTTTTGTCTTGTGGGGTTTAGGGTTTAGGGTGTAGGGTTTAGGGTTTTGATGCAGGTTTAGGGCTTAGTAGGGATTAGGGTTTTGGCGTTGAGCCCCTTTTAAAAACATATGACGCTGACACCCCCAGACCCGAGCCCCTCGAGCCTGAGCTCTTTAGTTGAACGTACAACCCGAACCCGAAACCGTTTTTTTGTGAAGGGGCTACTGTAGGGGCCTTAATCATCAGAATAGTTGTTTGGGGGTTCCTTATTATAGTTATAGTATAATATACCCCAAACCCTATTCTATGTATAGGCCTCCGACATTAAAGCCCCAACTGGGAAACCCAGGTGCAGCACCGCCAACTGTGAGGAGACGATGCCTCCCATTGCAAGGAGACTATTTGGGCCTAGGGTCTAGGGTGGGAGCTAGGATTAGGGGGACCCTTGGGGATATAGACCCTCTCACTAAGGTCCCTTTTAAGAGAGCCGAAAGTAGGGTTCAGAAGGGGTACCCTTTAAGGGGTACCCCGAATAATGCTACCTAGAGGGATTAGGGTTTAAGGTTTAGGGTTTGGGGCTTCGGGCTCAAGGCCTAAAGTCTAGAGCTGCAGGGTTGTAGGGCTTTGGGCTTCAAGGTTTGTAGGGTTTAGGGTCTTAGGGCTTAGGGCTTCAAAATTTAGGGCTTTAGGGTTCAGGGTTCAGGGTTTAGTAAAGGGTTTGGCCGAGGTTAACGTTTGCATTGGGATACTTTCACGGGGCATGTATGACTAGGTTTCCCAGTGGCACCCCTGTACTCTTTGTCTGTTTAGGTTCCCTTGTAATAGTGGCAAAAACGGTACTTACTACTGTACCAATGGGCTACTGGGGAACCTAGTATACCCCGTAGGCTTTAATGCGTAGAGTTCGGGTTCAGAGCTTTCGGGTCAGGCTCAGCATATGTCAGAGGGTTTAGGGTCTACCTTAAGAACCCAAAACCCACTTTTTCGTAGGTTCTTATTATACACCCTAATATGGGATTTATAGGGACCCTACAAAAAAGTAGGTTTTGGGTTCTTAAGGTAGGGTTTTCAGCATCTTTCCTGAAGTGCACAGAGCCATGCCGCCAGGATGATCAGGAGACTGCGACACCAGCCGCCTGCGTGAGTCGATGGCGAGGCAGCCAGTTGAACCCTAAGCCCTAAACCCTAAACCATAAACCCTAAACGGTTTAGGGTTTAGGGTTTAGGGTTTAGGGGCTTCAGAGTTTGGGGTGTAGGGTTTAGGGGCTTTAGAGTTTGGGGTTGACGATTTATGGGTTTAGGGTCTAGGGGTCAGCATTGTTGGTTTAGGGTTGAGGCTGCTGCGGTTTGCGTGCTGGTGTTTGTATATATATATATATATACATAAGTATATATACACATGCATAGGTACATACGTACAAACGTAAATACATACATACATACATACATACATACATACATACATACATACACCCTGGGCGTCTAAGACGTGTAAAAGCCATGTCTTTCGAAAGCGCGCACATTTGCCGAGGAAAGACCTGAATGTGGAAAGATGGCTCCCAGCACGGTGTGCTTGACTTTGGAATCATAAAACTCATCATGGATCTCATATAGATCGTGCGACTTAAGCGAGCCGCAAATACATCAACATTTTCCTCATCGGGGTTGCAAGATCTTTCACAATGCACACAAGGACGGCTTAGTGTCTGTGCCTGCTTATGTCGTGCCACTGCATCGCATTCCTGAAGCTCTTTGCCTTGCCCTGAGATGTGATCTAGTTGCCCAACGACCTAGGCCAATGACCCATGATACACATACGAGGTCCTACTGGATGTATGGCTTCCGATCATGAAGCGATCTCTGGATTTCAGCTGTCACCTCAGAATTTCGTATATGTAGTGAAATCATCAAGTCGTCTGTCCGATGCGGCTTCCAGAAATAAAGCTGTTAATCCCAAGGTTGCATGGGCTTCCTGTCGGACTTGCAGGAGGAGGACTTTGACATCCCATCAGCCGGTGCTCCCACCCGACTGTGCTCTGCTTTGTGCTTGTCGCTTCAATGGGAACACGCATGATGTGAGATTGTTGGAAACCTCCGAACTGCAAGCAGTTTTTCCCCAATGGTTATCGTCCGGAGGTTTCATGTCATGTTCATGAGAGGTCAGCCGATCTCAGGCCTACAAGCTTCGATCGATCGATGCATGCATGCATGCATGCATGTATAAAATACATGCATATATATCTGATCTAGATTCGTTCGTGATATCGAAAATAGAATACCTGGAAGCATGCAGCACGGCTGAGCCAGCTTTTTCCGGCGATGGATGTGGTTCCCAAGTGGAACTACGTAGATGCTGGTGTCCGGAAGGACCGAGTGGATCATGGTCGCCTCCGCTTGCTGCAGGTGTCATATCGGTTAAATGATCAAACAATCTTAATCTTAGTAGCCGAAATCGTCACACAGTCTATCCAGGCTTACTACACTGAGTTGTTCGAGAACAAGGACCAGGTCGATGAAAGAAAACAACAGATCCGCAAGCAGCTGAAGATGAATAAGCATGATGCTCGGGTTGCTTATCTGCCTTAATCATTCGAACCGACACTTACATGATTCTTGTTTCGCCCAGGTTCCCAAATATTCCTGTGTCCATTTGCCGAAGCACAAAGTTGGGGAGTACGAAGCCTCGTGGTAGCATACAGGGTATAAGATCATCCCCGCTAAGTACGTCCTATGGGGCCCAGGTAGAGGACGCCATCAACTTCGACTTCCTTCTTGGGTTTATGGCTTCCTTTGCGGCCGATTTGCCCACTCAAGGGGAGATGATGGTTCTCCTGGCTTCTATTGCTTGTGATTTCCTGCCCTAGTCGTGATGCGGAATATCTTAGATCTTGCTTCAGCATCACCCGGTTTTGCCAGCTGGTGCTGGCTTGGGCCTCCGAGAAGTTCAAGCTCAACAAGTTCCAGAAGCCCCGCGAGCATGTTGTTCCTCGGATGAATTGTCTGTGGTTCGTCGCACGCATTGGCATTTGTTTTAAATACTAGCATCCAGAATGCAAGGCTTGGGCGCGAGTGGAAGCTGGGCTACAACGAAGCCTTGCTTGCTATGTTCTGATGCGCTTTGGACGAACTGACCAATGCAGGCGACCCGAGTCCATAATTTAGGGTGCTATTCAATTGATGTCAATCTGGCAGGTCCGGCCATGACAAGATGCAGACCCTCAAAGAGGTCGTTCAAGCGGTGCTGCAGGCTTGCCAACAATATGCGGTTATGAGTCATACTAAGGCAGTTCGTAGTAGTGCTGTTAGTTTTTTTAATTACATCGGCCGAGATAGTAAGATTGTCAATTGTTGAATGGGAACATGACGTCGAGTACAAGCCTCAGGCCCCAGATTTTAGATGACATGAGCAGGTATATATTTTATTTTCCTAGTAGGGTATTGGAGCTTTGTTTCTTCAGTTACTGATCGGGGCCTTTCTTAAATTTCTATCACGCCTACCAATGCCGACATGCCGACAGGCAAACGGCCAACTCGACGAGAAGGGCAAAAAAAGCCAAACAAGAAGTCTTCCAAGGTGGGAGCAGCCGAGGCTCTTGATCCATCATGTCCTGGTCGCAAGGGCATAGAAATAATACTAGCATTCTTAATTTGGTTTGCAATGCTAAGATTTAGTATGTCACGCCATGCATGTGCAGACGTTACGTTATATTCTAGGATGTAGTACTTTAGATCTAGTAGATACAATGCATGCCAAAGGTAATAACCCAACAAGATCAATGAAGTGTTTCTATCATATTCTAGATGTTCATGCATGCATGATTTATGGTATGGATAACCCATGATCTGTATGTTAACATGTTTTGTATCTCCGGAAGGACTCCATCGAGAACCCGAACCCCGATGAGCAGGAGACCCAGATTGAAGGCGGTCCCTCGCTTTCAAAACATGATGATGAAGGTGAAGGTGAGGAGGAGGAAGAGGAAACGGAGGATGAAGAGATGCTTCCCAACCACGGGGACGACCCTTTCTGTGATGAGGGGAAGGACGAACAGAAGGAAGGTGGAGAGGAAGAAGAGAAGGAAACGGACCCTGTAGTTTGTCCGGACGAGGATGAGTTGACGAATGCTGATGATGATGAAAATGATGATGGTGAAAAGGATGAGTACATAGGAGACGAAAAGACCAGGAAGGAGAAAGAAGGAGGTGCGATGAAGGAGACTGGGTCAATCTGATTTGGGATTTTCAAGTATCTTAATCAGGGAAGGATCATGTTGTTCCGTGCTTCGACAGCTGTGGGAGTTGGTTCACATCACAAATTATGTTGTTGGCCAGGACCGAAGCCCAATCGGCAAGCTTCCTCAAGTGCCCGCGGATCTGGCAGCCAAGGCTGCATTGAAGCGAAAGCGGACGAAGGAGATCAAAGACAGAGATCTTCTGGAGGCAGCTTGTTGATCTACTCGTGCCTAGAATGTTTTTTTTTGCCGTGGCAGGCCCAACAGAAAATGGCCGCAAAGGGGCCGAAGCGAGCTGAGGATCCCGACCGAGAAGCTCTCGAGGCCGAAGAAGAGAATGATGCGGCCAAGGCTGCATCATTCAAAAAGCCAAAGGCGAAGGCCAAGGGAAAAGCGAAGGCCAAGGCCAAAGCCAAGGACACTCTTCGGCGGCAGCTGTCGTACGGCGAGGAAGGGAAAAGCCCAAACAAACCGGCCCCTAAGGGAAAGGCGAATATGAAGAAGCCGGCGGCCAGCAGGGAAGGCCTTGTCGCCGACATCGAGGCTGGATCCGATTATGCTGCTGAATTCCCATTGTTGATTATGATTTATCGCATGTGGGGGCATGCTGGCCTTGCAGTACACGTCGCTTGCTAGTACTGCTGTATTGGTTTCAGAGCTCACATGCACACGCACACACAACATAGATCGAAGAATACTGTGCAGCTACAAACGAACGTTGATCGACATTGCACAGAGAGAGAGAGAAAGATTTGTAATCTAATATTGCTACTTTCTTATCGACATTTTACCCCAGAACACAATATATATATATATATATATATATAAGTGTGTGTGTGTCATGAACACCGTCTGCCGGGAGTGGCATAGATCCACACATGATCAGACTATTTCGCTGGCTATGCATGTGTCATCGATTCGTTCATGCATGTATCATGTATGGAATACGTGTATATGCTGCACGCATATATGCATGCATGTATCATGTTATGAATAACATGCATGCATGATGCACGCATACACATGTCGACACAGTTCTGACAAAGTATATTTCGGACTCCCTATAGCACGAAGAATGCAGGCCAATCGCAACCAGATTCGCCGCCTCGCCTTCAACTCGGCGGCCGTCTTGCAGATGATAGTGCCAGAGAATCTCGGCACCGCCAAGCTATTTCCTCAGATTCATTTGGGGACTGATCAGTGACTTGGATATGACATCCGAAATCTTGTTGATTTGGGTTTGGATTCAGGTCCTTTACGAATACATGCCCGGAGTTCTTGCGGGCAAAGTTGAAGCTTGACAAGTCGATCAGGCTCCCGAGTGTGCAGGTACTGCCAGAATCTTAGACAGCCGTGCATGACATGACAAGTTGAGCGACTGATCTATGAACTATTAGAGCTGCTTCTGCAACAAAGGTTGACAACGGGAGCATTCTATATTTGCCCAACCAAGCCACAGACCGTCGAGGCAGTGAACGAAGCCTTGGAGCTGGATTTGAAAGTGTCTCGTCTCACAATAACATGCAACTGCCATGTCCGGTTTGCTGGTAAAGCTCCATTATATTATCCTAGACCCAGGCCAACACCGCAGATGGAGTTCATATCAGCTGGCTGAAGCGAGGTGGAATTCTAAAGGCGCCGGTTTCTCAGGAACCCTGATCTGAAACGAGGCACTTCTTACATGATCTAGAGTCTTTCTACTAAAAAAAATGAGGTGGTACATCGCCCACTGTGTGGCCGGCTGGACACCTGCATCGTCCGAGGAATGGGAGTGGCAGGCCTTCTTTTGAGTCATGTCTGTCCCGAATTTTTTTTCTGCACAAGCCGCAGACAGATTGCCGCTAGGCATGATGTTCGGACCCCGAGCCACACGCGGCAGCTTGGCATTGTTCTCTTCTGTGGGATAGAGACGAAGGATGCTGGGTGCCAGGATTTCCGAGGGGTGATGTTTTGGGGGGTCTCGATGCTCTAGACTGCAAGTCGTTGTTCGCTCGCGGTTTGTGTTGGTGCCATTACTACCTCGACGAATTTATGCTACTGCTCCTGATGCCAGTGCTGCTGCTACTTCTTAATCCTATATATATACATGCTCCTCACGGCCCATCTTAGTCCAGCTGGTCCAGCGGCCCCATCACAGAATATCTGTACCAGTTCTCAAGCATGCTGTCAGAAAACTGTGGATAAACAAGCGAAATCCTTTGTACCATTTCCAGTCTTTCTGAGCCCTTGAAGTACTTCCACATGTCCCACCAGTTAACATATGCAGATGCTTTGGCCATCTCAACTTCGTAGAACACTGTGAGGTCCATGATACTCCCGAGTGGCAGTTGCATCCCCCTCCAATGTCGAAGCTTAAGCTCGAGACTGACCTCCACGACCAGCTTATGTAAAGCATCAAATGGTGCAGCAGCTTTGGGAATTTTGTTGCATGGCATCACAGGGCAACAGCAATGGTACCGAAAAGAGCGCCAGAGAAGAGCCCCTGCAAACAAAGCCCGGTGGTCCCAGCAGCAAACGAGCCGAGACGCTTAGTCACAGTAGTGGTGGTAGTAGTAGTAGTAGGAGTAGGACTAGGAGTAGGAGTAGTAGTAGTAGTAGTAGTAGTAGTAGTAGTAGTAGTAGTTAGTAGTAGTGGCAGTGTTTCGGGTCCCGCGACGCTTCACGTTTGTCTTCGGGGCCTTGAACAACCGAAGAGGCCTAATCCTTAAACCCTGAACCCGAAACCTGAAGACCCTAAACCCTAAACCTCATGCCTTATATACCCCGAACCTTAAGAGCCCAAAACGGAAAGGCCACTGAATGATGCTCTGGTCGCTGTGTGCCTGCCTCGAGGCACTCGGATGCGGGGTTTACAGATGAATATAGGGGCCTAAGCAAGTACCAATACTATTTTGGGGGTTCCCAAAATCCTTAAGGATTTGCTACGGCCCAGAACAACGGGGCTTAGCGTATCAGGGCTTTTCACAATTTGGGCCTAAAAGACGGACTTGGCAAACTTTGTCTTTATTTGTTTGTTTCTGGCTTTATTCGTCATTATTTGTTTTACAGTTTTTATTTGGATACTTTTTGTTCCTTTTGTGATTGATTCAAATTCCGGTGCTGGCTTCCTGCTGTTCTANNTTTGTCTTTATTTGTCTGTATTTGTCCGGAGTTGTTTTTAATTGTCAAAAATTGTCTTTATTTGTCTTTATTTTTCCTTCGACTGTCGAACAAGCCTCGTTTCTTGAAGCCCTGTGGTTGGGGACCCTAGCA